CCTCAGCAACAACTTGAGGAGATCGGGTGGTGCAGTTGGGTAGGCCTTGTGTGCCATGCTTTCCAAGTCTTGTGCCAGCTCTTGCAGGTTCTCCTCTTTAGCACGGATTCTCGTCCTAAACCTAGCCCTGTAGACTTCTGACTGATTCTGGGTTCCGTACCTGAGTTCCAGAGCCTCTACCAGTGCTCTATAGTTGTGTCTGTCCGCTGCTGTCAACTGTCCAAGTAGTTCCAGTGGTTGTCCCTTCAAGCTCGTTGCCAGATATACTGCTTTCTGCTCCTCTGTCCATCCATTCATCTCTGCCAGTAACTCAAACTGTGCTCATTATGCTTCCCACAGTGCTTTCCCATCGTATTCCTGGATCCCATCGTACTGGATCACTTTTAGTACTGACATTCATATCTGGGATGTGACTTCTAACGGGACTGAATATGTCTGCATTAGGGTCTAGATGCGGGCCCTGTAAGGGGCTTGCCATTGTCTGGGGCTGGTTAAGTCGATGGTCAATGTATCCTCCTTGTGTAAAAGACAAAAAGTCGTCCTTTAACGTATCTAATTCGCTTTTAAATTTACTAATGTTTTCCATTTGTACTTCTTGTTTCCTTTCTTGTTCCAGTTACCAGTGCTGTAATTTGTCTTCTTGTTTCTTTTCTTTTTCCTCCAACAACTGCTGTAATCTCTCTTCTTGTTAATTTACTTTTTCCTCCAACAACTGCTGTAATCTCTCTTCTTGTTTATTTTCTTTCTCCTCCAACCACTGCTGTAGTCTCTCTTGTTTACTTTGCTGTTCGAGCTGCCGTTGTTGTAGGTTTTCTTGTAACTGCTGTTGTCTTTCTTCTTGTTTCTTTTCTTTTTCGTCCAACAATTGTTGTAATCTCTCTTCTTGTTTCTTTTCTCGTTCTTCTTGTTTCTTTTCTTGTTTCTTTTGTTGTTCGAGCTGCCACTTTTGCAGGTTTTCTTGCAGCTGCTGTTGTCTCTCTTCTTGTTTCTTTTCTCTTTCATTTTTTCGTTCTTCTTGTTTATTTTGCTGCTCTTGTATTGCTGCCATCAAGTCTGCTAAGCTGTAGTTTGATTTGTCGCTTCTCGTCTCCATTTTTTTTGTCCCACTTTCTGACACCAATTTGTTACCTCTCCGGTTTATTAATTAACTTTCCGTAACTTCGTTCCGACGAAACTTTAGCGACACAAGTCCTTACTTAATAAAACTGGTTTATTCTTTCCAAATACAACTTTACGATACACTTATTTTCAAC